ATATTTAAGGCTCCGAATCATGGCCGTCATCTCTAATGGGAGAAGACGGGCTTCACGTAATGCGTCGGCGGAGCGACATCCATATGGGATACCTGCTATGGTTCGGCAAGCTTTGTTTTGACCTGAATCTAGGAGTTTGTGTGAAGTGGGAGCTGCATCCCAATACCAGATCTCAAAGCCGTAGAGCGTCTGGGCTTGAACCAGTGTCAGGTAGAAGGCTCGAAGGACGTCACGCTTCGGTCCCCATGTGGTGGAGGAGATTGCTGCAAGTTGTAGTAATCTAAAGTTCATGCGTTGTCTCGTTTGAACCACATGGGTAGAGACATGCCTCGGTAGTTTTGGAAGGTGATGCCTAAGAGTTTAGGTGTTTTCTCCGGGCCTACGGGGATACCGCGTAGTTTAAGAGAAAGGGGATGCGGGTTGGTGGTACCAAAAAGTGTGTATTTCGTTTTGTCTACATTAATGTCCATAAAATAGTTTTTGGACCATTTGTCCACCACGTTTAGTCCTTGTTGCAGTGTACTGTTGATGATGTCTCTGTTGACGTGTCGTACTGCTAGTGTGAGATCATCGGCGAAAAACCATGAAATAATAAGGGTACTTGGGATAGTCGTTTGCTTAGGGTGTTCATTACTATAATGAACATAAGTGGGCCGAGAACTGTTCCCTGTGGCACGCCACGGTGGAAAAGCATTAAAGGAGAGGATTTACTGTTTACTCGTACTTTGGCTTGGCGTCCTTTCAGGAAAGATGCAGACCATCGAATGATGTGCGGTGGGATATCCATCTCTCGCATCGCACTAACTATACGATCATGGTCTACAGTATCGAAAGCTTTGGCGTAGTCGACGAATACTGCACCTGTACGCGAATCAAGGGTGGATCTTGTGAGGGCTGCGCGTAGATGCGGTAGTTGGTCTGACGTAGAGTGAACAGGTCTAAATCCAGATTGTTGCGGGGTCAGTTTGGTTTCAATGACATCTCTAATTCGGGCTGCGATGATCCACTCCGTTAATTTGGACAGACAACTAGTGAGGATAAATGGTCTGAATGAATCCAAGTCGGTGGCCTTCTTTCCTGGTTTAAGAAGTGGTACAACAATGCCTACTTTCCAAGAGACTGGAATAACGCCCGTACGGAGACTCTCGTTGAAGAGGGCAAGAGTCTCCGCTTTGGCACGAGGTCCCAAGTGTTGGAGTGCCTCGCCGTAGATACCGTCTGGAACTGCGGCCGTCCCTTTAGGAAGGAGACGCTGTGCCCGTTCCGGTTCTGCTGCTGTAATGGGGATGAATTCTGTATCGGTAACTGGAATGGGCGGTGGAGGGTAGGAATGTGGATGACGTTGAGCTCGTCGTGAATACAAGCGGATAAAGTGCTTAGCTTTCTGATTTTCTGTGAGTACCGTGTTGTTAAGTTTAATCGCCGGGGTACTGAGGGGTCGCGGGGCGTAGATCCTCTTCAAAATGTTCCAACAGCAGCCGTCTGCCACGGCCATGTTATTACATAGGGTTTTCCATCTCTTATGGGATGCTTGTCTTGGCATTTCTCTCCTACGAGCTACTAGTCTCTCTCGGGAGACAGAGGGTTTACAATTGTGAATCTTCTCTTCGATTTCATCTAATTCTGGGATCCAAAATGGAGTAGTGACTTGACCCCCGCGGGAACCGCCGCAGCTTTTGCGATACGGATGGCGGAGGTCAGTGGTCGTTCTCTCTTGTGAATGCTCATTTTCTCTTTAAGGCGTTTGTTGCGCTATGCGTTTGACATTTCTCTAAAGCGAGACCATTTCGTTTTCTTCCATGCATAAATGGGGGCGCGAGGGCGAGGGAGCCGCAGTGGTTCATCATCTCCCACTACTACGTCGAAGAGGATGATGTAATGGTCGCTGTCCGGGGAGAAGGATGCCGTCCAGGACTCTAGACGGCATTCGCGGGACAGTGTCACATCTGCCGCGGACGGACCATGGCGTGTGGTGTGGCGAGTGAGTTTTTCTTGTAAAAGATGAAATGATGAAACTCAGAAATGATCATCGTACTATACGGAGTGAAATAAATGAACTATTTCGTATGTTACAAGAAGGTTTTCATGTTTTGTATGAGCAAAGTGATAAAATACAATACTCTATTACTGAAGAAAGTAAAGTAATAGCCTCACAGATTGCAGTAGATGTAGTGAATGATATGGTGCAACAAACTGTTTTTGATCGACTTAGGGAGCAAGGTATTGTTCTTCAGCAATTCCCAGGTCCATCATCTAGCTTAACAGATGAGGAATGGACACAGAATCAACTCTATGATATCATTGTTAACTCATCTAGAGAACAAATAGCTGCAGCCATTCTTAAAAATCACGACAAACATGAGAACGAGGATGTCGAATCGAAAGACAAAAAGAAGAAAAACAAAAAAATGGGAGAAGAGGGAAAAGAGGAAATAAATAGGGAGAGGGAGAGCAATAAGGAAATGGAGATGGATAAGCATGATGAAGCTCGACACGATCCTGGGCGTCCTTTGTTGTACCGTGGA